TTCGAAATTTTTTAAAATAGGATCTGGTTTCTCTATTTCTTATTACTACTAAAATTTTTGTTGAACATGTTCCTGCGCATGACTATCATTAAAAATATATAACTTAGTACTCACTGCAGTGAGTGTCAGAGCTCGCATTTTCTCGTCGACGAAAACTTGAGGTCACGGACAGACGGACAGACAGACAGACGGACATGACGAGCACAATAGTGCATTTTTTCTATAAATGAGAAAATGCGCTAAAAAGCTATATGATGTTTAAATAATATACGTTTAAAAATTACTTTTTAAAGACAACACTTCCAAAGAATCCAGTATCTCCAATCTTACAGATGTACAATGAATTTCTCAATATCATTGTTACTTTTTTGGGCACGGGTGATTTTTTTAAGGGCAATGTTTCATTGAAGTATGCGTGTTTTTTCTGCAACACTCGGTCGTTAGGTTACACTTAACTGTACGGCTTACACCAACTGTCGAGTACGGCCTATATCAACTGACAGGTAAACGGGCTATACCAACTGTCGAGTACGGCCTATATCAACTGTCGAGTACGGCCTATACCAACTGCCAAGTACAGCCTATACCAACTGTCTAGTATAGCCTATACCAAATGTCTAGTACGGCCTATACCAACTGTCTAGTACAGCCAATACAACTGTCTAGTATAGCCTATACCAAATGTCTAGTACGGCCTATACCAACAGTCTAGTTCNTCATGAAGACTCAATGTGAGTTAAATACGTCAGTGAAATAACTGTGACAAATCTCCCTTTCTCTTAATTGAATGATCTCGTACATTATGTAAATGAATTGATGAGACTTAAAATTTTGGTCAAATTTAATTCAGGGACTTGATATATAATGAACTTGAGAACGTAATTCAGGGGACCTTATATTGAGTGAACTTTATAACATAATTCATAATAATTATTATATAGTGAACTTAAGAACGTAATTCAGCGGACTAATAGTGAACTTTTAATGTAAGAATACTTATAGGTGAACTGAAGAACGAAATTCAGGGGACCTTTATAGTGAACTTTAAAGCGTAATTCAGGAGACCTTATATAGTGAATTTTAGAACGTAATTCAAAAGACTTTCAAATGAACTTTAGAGCGTAATTCAGGAGAATTTATAGTGAACTTTAGAACGTAAAATTCAGGAGACTTTATAGTGAACTTTAGAACTTAATTCAGGAGACTTTATAGCGAACTTTAGACTTTATTTACGGAAACTTCATAGAAATTTTTAGATTGTAATTAAATAAACGTGATAGTGAAATTTAGAATGTAATTCAGGAGATTTTACAGTTGAATTTATATTGTAATTCACGGAACTTTTTAATGAACTTTAGGAGGTAATTCGGTAGACTTTATAGTGAGCTTCAGAACGTAATTTGGAAGGTTTTATAGTGAACTTTAGAACCTAATTATGAATTTGAGAGGGATGTTTTTGCTTCGCGAATGAGCAAGCATTCCAGTATTATCTATTAACTAGCATCATATGGGTATTTGAATTACTATATTACATTACAGTTCATTCTGATTATCTTTAGTTGATTAGGCGGGCCAAAAACAGTGACTATCGAGCGTTTCAAAGTAAGAATTATTTCAGATTTAAATTTTCCCGAAGTTATAAATGTTGATATAATACCTACGTTCAGTGAGAAAATTTGTTATTTCCGACAATCATTCCAGAAAATAAATAATAAGAGATTATTCAATTTAAAATTACCATTATTTAATGGGAAATTAAGTTGATGGTTCAATAAATACTTTTTACTAGATAAGAGCTGTGAGAAAAATTTACCGATTTGAAATTTTATGGCATGTTTAATCGACTTTTGGCAATCTATGCAGTGCGCAAAATATTGCTTTGAATTGTCGCAAACTATGAAAATCGAACGCATCGACTATGCGTCTATACAAAAATTCAATGAAACAAAGTATTTGAACAATTGTTATTGAGAACTTCATAATTTCGAGCGACCATTCAATACGAAGATAAGGTTTCAACGATTCATATAATCTCATGACTGGTGAGGGTCCATCAAATTCAATGATTACACACAATTTGATGGCAGCCTTCAAGTATCTCCTTAAAGCATCAAATCTTCGTGCGAGCCGCCGTTCTTCTCCTTTTCGTGTGCAGATTATTAGGCGATGAAATTTAAAGACCCAGAAGAACACGTATAAATATTGCATGTTAGCTGCCGCCAGCGGTGAACAGCGTCTGGCGCGAGGTGGAGCCGCTGTCTAGACATGGCGGCCATTGGTTAAAAGCCAAGCAGAGGCAATGCTAGCATTCGGGATCGAAAACAGGGTAATATCAATGATTATTGATGAATTTGATAACCAAAAAGTTGAATTAAAAGCTGCATTTGATAAATTTATCTCAATAAATTGATATTTATGTGAAGGATTGTGAATATGCACTTTGTAGTGCACAGAAACGTGTGAAGCAAGCTGAGTTGTTCAAGCGTAACAAGTATGGCAGAGGGAGGAGCTTCGGTGCAGCGCCCTAGGTTGCCACAAAAGATCGGGAATACGAGTGGTGGATGGAAGGGTTTTAGAAGTGACCGCGAGGGGGAAACACCACGACTCCAAGTTTCAGTGGTCAGTATTGGGAGTGGCTCGACCGGATGAACAAGGACATGGTGTACGGTGTTTGCGGCGGCGGTTCGGAGACCGGCTATCATCAGCCATATCCTTCGTCAGCTGAATTGCATCAATACTACGCGCATTGCCAAGCGTATGAACAACCACAAGCGTATTTATCGCCTACACTAACGGCCTCTGATGGCCACCAACACAGATCACAACCACTGCAGGATGGTCCGCCATCGTACACAAGCCTCGACGACTACAGCGCCTACCAGCACATGACGCAGCCTCCTCAGGCTTACGATTATGCCCAACCTAATCCCTGTCCCCCAGGGGCATATCCTGGGTACCTTGATCCCACTGCTCAGTATAGACACGTTGGCATGGGGCTATATCCCCATCATGATGCTGTCAGGGAGTGCAGCATGGCTATGATGGCAGGGGGTCCTCCTTTACCCCATCAACAGCCCCAACAAAACGTTCCGACGTACAAGTGGATGCAAGTTAAACGTAATGTCCCCAAGCCAGGTAAGAATCAGTGGGGAATTCAATATATACAAAGTCAGTGCCTAAAAAGTGTTCAGAAAAGTTGTGGTGCTTAAACGAGTGATTAATCGCAGCGGCCTTGACACGAGTTTTCCTGTTGATTTATAGCGATTAAAATGTGAAAATTGTTCAAAAATAAATTTTATTTTCGTGCTAAAAATTCAAGATTATTCAACACTTAAGTTGGATTTGACTATTATTTTTATTTTACTTTTTCATACCACATGCAGACTCCTAATGCCAAAATCTTATCCATTTTGACTTTTATCAATACAATTTTGAGATAAAAAAATCCGTTTCGAAACTAATCGCAACATGAAACCATAACGTGCCCTTGCATTTAAACATGTAAGTGTAACGTAAGCTAAAATATTTCAACCAACTGTCCATTCGTCTTAAGAAATTTTCAGAGTTAATACTTGCTGACACAATTATTTCTTCTTACATCACATGTAGTGAGAACTACACAAGGCAAATTACCGAAATATTATTTGAAAGAAAATATGTTGAAAATTGGCAGGTATCAGTGGTTGCAAGTAGAAAGCTAGCTTTGTGTGATCTTATTATATGTATGGTACGGTACAGTTGGCAAGCTGCATCTATTTCATGGATGACCATGATACATTTGTTGCAACTATTATAATGTATTATTATATGAAGGTATTATAATAATGAAGGTAACTGTTATATTATATTATATGAAGGTATCAATGATACCTTCATGATTTTCGTCGCACGTGCCGCCATTTTGCATGGTTCTTTCATTATGCTTCTTGTCATCAAATAGTTCGTTGCAACTCGTGGGATAAATTACGAATTTTTTTGGCATAATCGGCTACAACTAAGTAGTGGAAATTAACTTTAATACTTAGATAAGAATCTACGTAGAATAAGTTTAGAAGTTAAGAAGTAAATGGAATCTATAGATCTATGTTATATAATTAATCGAAATAGCATACATCGAAATTTCAGTGAGAAATTAATTTCTGTTCGTCTGTAAATATAATTAATTTTAAATGAACGAATAAACGTTATTTCACACGTCCGCTCAGCACACGACTGTACGAATTATAGCTACGTACGCCCTCAACACTTTGTTCATATAAACCATCAGCTGAAAAGTATCGTCGTTTTACCGGTGGCCGTCTATAGTCCGCCTCGAATTTTTATAATTAAATTTGGCTTGTGCACACTAAATTGTTGCGATGCTCTGCCTGGTACTTTGAGTCATGGTTTACTTATACACTGTTAGAAAAATGACCGTTAACGGTATTACCGGCATTTCGATCAGTGGCCGGTCGGCACGTGAAAAGAAACACCGTTTCACAGTTTTTATTCCAATTTAACACCAGAAATCCGTAAAACATCTGATAAAAACGGCGAAACAGTTTATTTTCACGGGGCAACCGGCCACTAGGATGCCGGGGGGACCGTTTTTTCACCGTTTTTTCTAACAGTGATAAGGATAAGAATGAGAGAATAATTGCTATAGCGGGTACGAAGATAATTATATGAGCTTAAGGCTAGTGATTTATTACTTATTATCAACTAAGGCTTTTTATTCTTTCATTTTTCTTTGATAAGTGATCGATATAGGAGAGACTTGAAAAGTAAATAATCAATACTCATTGATTAATTTAAACGAGTATTTGTCACTTATAAAAACCTATGTAACTGTAATACATTACGTACTCTAATCTGATACTCATAAATTACTATTTACAATTTGATCTCAGCTTAGTCAAGAAAAGATCTATATTTAGATGATAAAATTTCAATATATAATAGAGTTCTATTTGAACGATTCATATAATCACTTTTCTGCGAATTTAATCATAAAATTTATTAATCTTGTTTGTGTATGAGATGTTTCTCAGACAAGCTTGTGTAAATTCATGATCAACCAATTCATGATCGAGGGTTCAATTGCATTATTTGATGTTGTAATATTGCTTAAGTCGAGCAATATTACAGGTTTAAAGCAATAAACATTCTTTATTTCTTTCGAAATAGCTTTGAAAAATTATCCATCCATATATCCAATAGGAAATTAATCTGAATTTTTATCGCATGATCGTAGATTTTCATGTGATTTTCCATGAAACATCTGCATATGAGATTTCAAAACTTATCAACATAGTTCAGATCCATGTAGTTTTGCCGTATCTCTGCTACTGTGCAGTGAATGTTTTGGAAGGTACTCACTCTAATTATATGCATACAAGTGACTTGTACATGACAAGTGTCTAATTAGCATACAAGTGTCTGTTCGGTCGATATATTTAACTGCCTTCAGCTGAATATCGTTCAGCTGTTCACAAATACAATCTTTGCTTGTTATTTGTGTAACATTTGTAGCTATTTTGCAAGTTTGTTAATGGGAATGCAAGTGGCATGAATTTTGACTCTGCATGTTTATCACAGTAAATTTAGACTCGTTTTTTGATCAGTTGTGATCATCTCTTGTTTTGTGATTATCACACACGTCAACAAATTTGCAGTTATATGCTTGTTGCTGCCCGATTAATCTTCATATACTAACAATATAAATCTTAAAATTATTTCTACTTTCTACCTCGAATTTACATTCAGTCCTTCAACTTACTCTACATTTGAATTTATTCTGAAGCTAAAAAAGCCTTTTTGAAAAAGACGGTTTTTTCAAGGAAAAGACAATTTTTTTAATGTAATTTAGGCGTTTCATGAACGGTTTTATATTCATACTTTTAGCAAATCATGAACATAAATAGGAAAAGAAAAAGATTTTTTTTAGAATGTTGTAAATTGCTCGTAAATCCCATGGAGCACAATGATAAATTAAAATAATTCATTTTAAAGTAAGCGAAGGCACCTGCTCAGCTCCGTTATTCTAAACGCACGTGCTATAAAAATGAGCTTTGAGTCAGAACATGTTCTATCGACTTGCAAAGAAACTGTCGCGTGCAGTTTTTGTGCAATTAAAATTCACTCCTAGAAGAAAAGGGGTATGGAAGCTAATGTGTATACAATAAAAAACTTTAGATTTGGTTCACGATAGTATTCAATAGACGGAAGTTCGTTTTTCCCTTATTTTGACAAGTGTATCATGTTCGTTATAATGTCGGACCAGTGATGAGGCAATATTTTATGACGTATATAGTACTGTAGCTCCGGTCGATGTTGCAGATCTATACGTATACCTCAGATGTCTGAAAGGGAAAGAGGATTGGTGATTGGCAAAGATAAAGAAAATTAATAACGGGATATATAATTCATTCGATCACTAGTACTAGACTATTGTGTGAATCAGAATACAGGCATGAAACGCTCGATCGCTACAAGTGCATGAATGCTTATAGCAACTTTCTTGCTTCAGCATCTACATATGGCTCTTTCAAGAAAATGTTCTTCAAAAATTATTGGGCAAAAATTTCATGTAGATTTTTTCAATATCAATAATATATACTTTTTTAATTGCAAGATATGAATATAATTACTTTCTTATGTAAGTTTTTTTTTCAATCACTATGTAGTTTCCATGAAGAAAAGCTTCGATTTTTCTGCTAATTTTCTCACACCAACGACATATGTCGTATTATGTCAACAAATGACCGGAGAACGATTCAAACCATTGCTCCACAACATTCACTTGAAATAAATTTTTCTTTATTTCGCCTATCATTTATAATACTTTTTTATGAAGAAATATAAACATTTATAATATAAGATGAACGAAATATAAATATACGCAAAAATATATTTTAACCCACTAAGTTGAGCACACAAGTGATATTAATAGGTCATGATAATTATGCTTTCTTTAAAATACTTCATAATTTCTGTTCATTTCAAAACTTTCAATGAATTCACGATGGTTTTAATCTATGTAATTTCTTCCATTTCTCTTTTTACGCTTCACTCATGTGAGTAAACCACATTAAATGGGTAGCTGCGCGATCTTATCTAATTTCTGGTTACTTAATTTAGTTAAGTTATTCTATCTTATCTAATCTATAGTTATTTTAATGTAGTTATCCTATCATATCAACTCGAGTTATTTTAAGTTAAGTTATCCTGTCTTATCTAATCTCTTGTTAGTTTCACTGAAGTCACTGAAGTTCAGTGAAGTTCACTGAAGTCACTGAAGTGAAGTTAGTTTCACTGAAGTTAGTTTCACTGAAGTCACTGTCTCACTCTCATTGAGATAATCTATGGGTAGACATGGGACTTTCATTGAAGGAATCAGTCTTGGGACTTTCAGTGGACATCAGACTTTCATTGAGAGAATCCTTAACCCGGGCACCACACTCTTGTACAGTCACCATCCGGGCATCACACTCTAATACAGTCACCCACCTGGGCACCACACTCTAATACAGGCACCAACCTGGGCATCACACTCTAATACAGTCACCCACCTGGATCAAAACTTTCAATGAATTCACGATGGTTTTAATCTATGTAATTTCTTCCATTTCTCTTTTTACGCTTCACTCATGTGAGTAAACCACATTAAATAGGTAGATATACGCGATCTTATCTAATTTCTAGTTATTTTAGTTAAGTTATCCTATCTTATCTAATCTCTAGTTATTTTAGTATATATATCCTATCCTATCAACTCGAGTTATTTTAAGTTTAGTTATACTGTCTTATCTAATCTCTATTCAGTTCAGTCAGTCTCACTCTCATTGAAGTAATCTATGGGTAGACATGGGCATATCAATCTCGTAGAAGGCATTTAAAGGTAGATATGGGCATCACTCGCCTGGGCATCACACTCTAATACAGGCACCCACCTGGGCATCACACTCTAATACAGGCAACCACCTGGGCATCACACTCTAGCACAGTCACCCACCTGGGCACCACACTCCAATACAGGCACCCACCTGGGCATCACACTGTAATACAGTCACCCACCTGGGCATCACACTGTAATACAGTCACTCACCTGGGCATCACACTCTAATACAGTCACCCACCTGGGCAAAACACTCTAA